ATAACCATCTAGCTGGGGTCACCTAGCCCCAGCCCTCTTTCCTGCCTATGCAGGGGGTCGGACTCGATGATCTATTGAGGTCCCTTCCGACCCTAGCATTTATGAATCCATGAATCTATGATGGGCCATTTAGCTTGGATGGATCCTTTTCTTACAAAACATTAATCAGTCTTCTGCCCATCCCTGTGAGGTAGGCAAATATTATTGAAGCAGTTTCACAGAGGGGGAAACCAAGGCAAAGAGACATAAGAATATGTGGCAGGGCTGAAAATAGAGTCCAGGGGGTCCTGTCCAAGGCAGAAGCCCAGGATATGGGACTTAACAGCAGAAGAAAGCATCAGAGAATGGGAAATCTGATTTTAAAAAGGATAATGATATCATAATAATGTGTGTGCTCTCGTTACAAAGGCAGAATGCCTATTAAAATCAGTGGGAAATTTTCCTGAGTAACAGATTGCTGAGTTTGGCCCCATTGTTGTTCTTGTGGTTTTAAATAAATCATAAGCTCTTTTTAAATCAACTTTCTCTCAAAAAATTTCTATCCCCAGCCCCTGCCCACTGCCTCCTCTCTTTAGCATCAGTGAATAGCTTCCAGGCTTTACTCCCTTCCCCCTTCCTCCAAACTGTTGTACATTATGAAGCCCCCAGCTCCATCAGCAGCACATTGTTCTCATTGACATTTATTATTTTGTGGTCTAGATTACTATGAACTTTGATCTCATGTTAGATTCTTTCTTCAGAGGTGGTGGGAGGGTGGGGGTGGAGAAGTCAATTGCTTTAGTTTGCTTCATCTTTGCAGAAAGGTCACAGTTTGAAGGGAAAGGATATGTCAAGGAGACACCAAAAAATGGAGTTGCCTGAGCAACTTGGAGATAAGCTGCCTCAGATCTGTAAAGAGCGATGTAAGGTAGAGGTATATAGAGCTAGGGACGGTACCAGATAATGTGGTTCAAGAATACAGGCCACAATTTCTGGGGCTAGTAAGGCCAGTAGAGGTTGTCACTGGCATGCATTGCAAATGGATCCACTAGTGTAGTTCTTGCAATGCAAAACTTCACATGGATGTCATTCATTCATTTTGTGCCCACCCTATCAACATGGTCAGACAAATGATGACTATTTATGGGCAGATACCCTCGCATGGTCAGTAATAGTGCTTAAATGGTTGTCTGTGCATGGGTCCTCCAACAGATGACAACGAAGCAGGTGAGGTATCATTTCTTCCCTGCAGACACAGTTGGTATCTTGGGCCTGGTCAAGATAACCTAATTTTTTTTGTGATTTACTTGGCAGCAGCCAACAGCAGTATGAAGGTAGTTCAGGCATTGCCAAATTGCCTCTGATTCTTCTGACCCTAGTGGGAGAATTTCTACCGCTTGCAGTCCCACATCAGCAGCTGCTGCTGTAGTCATGCATTTCATTGTTTGAACTGTAGAGTCTTCAGAGATGAGCTGTGATTGTCAGCGATGGTCCTACAACTCTAACATGATCTAAGTTGCCTGTCAACACATATACAAAGGAGAGTGGATACCTTGGATCTGTGGTCTTCTGCATCGATTCTACACAACCAGCCGTGCTTCCAATATCTGGAGCATGACAGCTGCCTGTAGAAAAAGGCTGTTGACAGTGGTCAGTTTGAGGCAGCCAGTGACATTTCTAGACCACTCATCAGCACGGGGTGGATCCTGTTTGCACATACAGACGTCTCCCACACTCAAAATGCTGCTGACTAGCAGAGAGTCATTGACCAGACTACAGATGAATTCACTCCCTATTTGGAGTTTGCTGGTTTCCAGATGATGTTAAATCGTGAGCTTACTTTGAACTTGCTTTCCTTGATATGTTTTGTATGTCAAGGACAGGCTGAGAGTTAAACTGAGTTTGAGCAGTGGGCCAGCCTTAGGCCATTCCATATGGTGCTGTATCTTTGCTTCACATCTCTCTCTCAGGTGAAAGGCACACACTTGAGTTTTCGGCAGGTTGGCTTGTAGTCATTTCTTCACGGTATAGAGTTGTTAAGGTCATTGTAACAAGACAGTCTCTTCCTTTAAGAGGGAACAGTCAGCCCTGTGAAGAAAACCGAGCGGAAGTTGTTTGAAGAATCAGGGAGTGTCCCACTGGGGCGTAAAACCCCAAGGGTGAGAGCAGAAGAGGAGGCAAGTTGTGGGCTGTGGGATGGGCCAGGCAACTGTGCTGAAGTCAGAACCAAAAGGTTTTCCTCCCCAGTGTCCAGGACAGGACAGCAGGATTTTGTTTTCTTTGTTTGAAAGACAGTGTTTTATTTGGGGGGGATTGACTGAGGAGCTCTTCAAGGAGCCAGTAACCCACTCACAGTCAGTGTCAGGATTGTTTCATGCACCAAATGTCCTTGTCTCAAACTGCCACACAGAGGTCTTCTGCATAAATGGATCTTCTGTTATCTGGGCAAACTGCTTAATCACTGGTGTACGTATATGTTAAAAATAAGGATGATGACACACTGCCTTGTGGGAGACGACTGAAGAGATCCAATGGAGAGGCACAAGGCCTTGAAGGAGATGGCTTTGGGATCCTCTCTGCTTGCAATGGCTCCTGAAGCCTTTCTTATGAAAGGGAGAAGACAAATAGCACCTCACCACCTGGAGAACGTTGATGGAGGGATGTCTGTGGTAGGGTCCTCCCACCAGCTTTCTCTCTCAGGTTCCTGCAGAACCAAATTCATCAGCAGAAGAGTGAGAATAACTCCAGTAATGCATGAAATGTTAATGGCCTCTTAAGATGCTCAGCGCCACTCAGCACTGATCTGATCTTCTGGATCTCGTTTATGTCAGTGCAGAAACAGAAGACCTGGGAGAAAGTCAAGAGTATTTTTATCATGATACTGAACAGCTCCTCAAACTTTGAGGACTGAGAACATTTAAGCCTGCTATGAAAGGTATCTTTCTGGAGGTCACTCAGCTCTCAGCCCTATGTCCCAGGCTGTGGTTGATCTTGATTGGTTTGTATTGTCTATTTTTACCGTTTTTATCCTGCCTTGGTGTTAGTCGCCCAAGATTAAAAAACAAACAACGACCCAACCTTTTGCTTTACACTGAAGTTATCGGGAGCTGAATGGGATAGTTCAATAGTGTAAGTAGGGGTAGCGAGTGGAGCACAAACCCTGGGCACCAATTTAGAGGGGTGCCACAATAGTGGCCCACAGGAAGCTTGCACCAGTGGCAGAAGGAGCCCACACCGTGGCAGCTGTGGTGTGTGTGTGTGGGGACCACGCAGTGACAGTGACAGTGGCAGCAGCAGCGGTGGGGGAGCAGTTTCCAGCACTTGGCAGCCAATGTCTTTTCCCCTCTTCAGCAACCCCCCCACCTTCTCCCTGCTTTCTGGTGTGTTCCCCCTTCCCCCCACTGTCCAGGGCATCAAAATTCCTAGTCATGCCTCTGGGATGCTGTCAAGGGTGGGAAAGGTGCCAAATCTAACTTACTTTCACTTCTTTTATCTCTTTCTGGGAGTCATATAATTCTTTTTCTCTCTTTTTCTTTTTCTATTTGTACTTTGGCACCAGTCGAAAAGATGCCAGTCAAACCCAAAGACAATGCCAGCAGCAAAGCCTCATGAACAACCCTACAATAACCAACTATTGTGAACAGCCTGTCAACACTGCAAAGCAACCCTAGAACAAAGCCACACGAGAAGGCCATCTCTAGGGACCAGGCTGCCAGGAGTTAACTCAAGGTGCTCTGAATGTTGTGGGTTTTGTTTGTCGACCTGATGATTTCCAGAAGAAAAGCAGTTCCTTTTAAAAGGCTTATTTTTGTAGACATTCTGGTTGGAAAGAGAACCACTGCTATGTATCACACAGATTCACTGGTTTCCTGGTTGCACTTCAACCAGTGAAACCAAATCATCGTTATGCAAAGTGTGTGTGTGTGTGTCTGTGTGGGGGGGGAGGAGGGGGGGCTGTATATGGATCAGCTTTTTTACATGAAACTTGGACAAATAAGGAGAGAGTACTTTGGATTTTGCTCAAAATTTCAACACTGAGTAAGGTGCTAACCAAGCTGACTGTTTTCTCTATTTATCACATTAGAAAGGGTGTATTATATGATTTTTTTTGAACCACAATGTATGTAAAACCCATTCCTTCTGCTTCTTGATGGTTACTCAGTTACATTACTCCATTAACATGCATAAATGTCCTGACAAAGGCAGAACTAAATGGGGCACGTTACTTTTACATGACATTTTTGCAATAGCATTCAGCAACACACAAGGGAACAGAGTCCCTCACCTGAGCAAGTTAGTTTAGGCTCTTGATCTAGCCAAGCACTTAAGCCCATGCTTACATCCCATTTAAGTCAATGAGACTAAGCTTTTACGAAGTCTCAGTGAAGGAGAACTTAATCATCAGCTTCAATTTAAGCATGTGCTGTGCTGAATAGGGATGTAAGCAAACAACATCTTTCTATTGTCCAGATTTCTATCAGTTATTCCATCAAAGTCCCACTTCGGTCAATGGGACTGCATTGATGAAAGTGAAAATAATTTAGCTTTCTTTACATATTGTTGCTAATGCTTTAATGTTCATCTGAGCACATTTTCAGTTACTTCTGTCTGGAAGGAGAATAGATCATGGCTAGCATAATATAATTCTAAAACCAGTGCTTTAATCTATGAAAACCCTTCAGCTGAAATTTCTTTCTGTATTTCATGACATACCCTCAATTTATTTCCTTGTTTTGACTTTGATGATCTTACCCTCTTCCTGCTTGGACTCTGCTAAATTCAGTGCTGTGCAGTTGAAGTATACAGCAAAGGAAGTAACCCTGACGTTATTGTTAACCTCTAACAGTATAAAAATAACCGTGGTGAAATATCGCTCGTGTCAGTAACACTTGTCCAAGTTTAGGTCACCCTAATTGCTGGGATAAGAAATGTAATGATAATAATAAAAAGAAATAAAAGGATGTTTTCCTGGACTTTGAACACTTCTGGCCTAAGGAAGGAATGTTCCATTTTTAACAGCAAAATTGTATATTTTTAAAAGTCTAAAGATACGCACGTTCAGCAAAGAATCAGAGATGCCCTGCAATTTTTTCCAAGTTCTTTTTTGACCTCCGTTATTTTTGTGGAGATATAATTTGGAACATAACCTAAGCCTCAAAAGTTGCTTATATTTTACAAACTTTGGAAATGACCTTGCTAAACAGCTTAAGGTGATGTATAACTAGATGAAGAAATCGATCAACTTCAGCTCCTATAGTAACAGTGAATTTATGCTCAGAACGATAGAGAATGTCAAATTGTTTGGGTCAAAACTAGTTCAGAAAGCCACAAAGCTACAAAAGGAAAAAGTAACAAGTTAGGGGCTTTGGATCGTAACAAAGGACATTGGACTGGTGCTCAGATAAATGAGACCTGTTTGTAAAGGCTCAATTTCAGCAGAGCACTTCAGCACATGCTTAACCTGAAATACATGCTGAAGCATTTTCACGGATTCAGGAATTATAAGGACAGAGGTGGCTGTTATGGTCATCTAGTATCTGTTGCTGACACAGAGCTTCCAGTGCAAGTCAACAAGTGATACATTTTATGGTGTCCGTTATCTATGGTATGTAGTGTCATACCACAGACGCTACAACCTGCGCAGGATGTCTACATTGTGTATTCTGCTCTTGAAAGGTGAAACTCACCCTTTGGCAGAGAGTGAGTGCAATACATACACACTGCTTAACATTTTCTCAGGTCTTCTCCTTAGGGCATGACTGGGACTGAAGTGGTTCCTCGGCTGGGTGCTGACCCTTTACAAAGCCACAAATGACTACAAGAATATTATCTAGGTCCTCTGCACTATGTTTTCATGTTTGGGTAAAGCACGTACCTTTTAGATTAAAACACCCAAAGCAATATGGGAAAGCATGTGACTCAAGCAGGAGATTAATAATTGCCAAGAGCACTATCTCTGGTGATTATCTCTGTACTGTGCAGTACATGATTCATTGCCAGCATTTACTTCCATCTCTCTCTTCCTAACCACCCCTTCCCTGCACACACGTGAGATAAAATGTGTTCTTGTAACGCCAAACTGGGCCTCTGGGACAGCTCCCAAAACCGTGGTAGTAAATTACCTTTTGTCTATGCAGATGGCCTTAAACTTCTTTGCATTTGTTTAAAATTAAAAATATATATTTTTTCCAAAGCATGAAATGAACTGCTTTCTGTCTGGAATGTGGTTCAGAGACAGAGGAGCAGCTTCATATGTGTACTTCTATTATTTCCTGTACTTATTCTGTCTCAGAAGCCAAGCTTGCCTGTGAATTTTCATTCAGGTCACATTGGCAGGGATCTTTTCTTACCTTCCTCCATAGTATGGGGTATGCTTTGCATGCTGGGACTATTTGGGCATATCTCACCTAATCAACTCTCTGCCATTGCAGGGGTCTTGGGTATTGCTGGCATTTTGTCCCTTCTCACACAGTTTAGTCCCCTGACAAGTGAAATGTTTAGGTCTAACTAAAATCTTTGGGTTTAAATAGAGATATTGGGGTGCAACTTCATGGCTTGTGATACTCAGGGCATCCCAGTAGATGAATTAATGATCCCTTCTGGCCTCAAACTCTGTAAAATTGAGGGGTAGGATTGCCTTGTGGTGTAGTGACAAACTTTTTTGAATTTTCTGGGACATTCTGAAATTTTGGGACTGTTTCCTGGTGTGCAAAAGGATCCTTGAAACGTCACTTGTATCACAAATTGGAAAAATTAGATCCAGATTGGTACTGGGCAGTGTCCTGCTGGGGCTTCTGAGAAGATGCAGCATGATGCTGCCTGGCAAGTAGGAAAACAGCTATACTGCTTAGCTCTGTCTTACAGCATAACTAACTTGTTTCAGCACAGTGCCATGTGAATACAGGCATGCTAATTAGTTCTGCTAACAGGTGGAATTAATTAGCCCACCCGCAGCACCGCATGACTGGCCATACTTCTTTCTACTCAGGAGGTCACTGTGGGCTACCTTGGAATAGGAAGCGGTGTAGCCACTTAAAGTATGGTGCCATGAGCAGGCTAATTAGCTAAGTATCTCAGCAGGGACTCTCTCTCATTTTCTTTGTGTGTATATCAGCAAGCACTTTAGGAGTCCAATCTCAGTTGGATTAAAAATGATTAGTAAATATTGAAACTGATTAAACTCTCCTTTTAGTGGGAATTTTGTAAACAAATTTGTTTCTTTGTTTTTAATTTTCTATGAGCAAAAGATTTGATTATATGATGAAACCACCTCCCACCAGTTTGAAAAAAACCCACAAACTTGTCTTGAATGTCTTCAGTTTTGAAAAAAGGCCCATGGACAGTGATTTAGTAGTGCTGGAGAAATATTGTACTTGTGTTGGTCCCGGAAATATGCAGACACAAGAATTTTTCTGGGCGATAGCTTTGATTGGACCAACTGCAGGGTTATGCAAGCTCCCAAATGCAGTGCATTCTTCTTTAGGGCAGTGTTTTTGTTTTGATGGGCCTATTTTCTTTTACTTGGTTTTTGGTTTTTAAATGTCCAATATTTAACAGCTTCTCTACAATATAAAACATAGCCTCCTTCTGCTACTAGAAATTAGCCCAGCTCCTAGTGATGCACTTCAATTTATGACCTTTAGGCTCAAAAAGGAGGTGTCTGAAAGCAACAGAGTTATTAATGCACCAGGGATTCTGTGTAGCATCATGCCACAATCTTTATGTATTGGTAATGTCTTGGGGTGTATGTGGAAAAAAGGCAGAAAGAGTGGCATATTCCTAAAGTGAAAAACAGGCATGATCATACCAAATGGGATGAAAAACTATAGCTGAAAAATCTGTATCGTAATTATATAGTGAGCGAACCCCCTATAATGGGGAAAAAGGTTGGAGTGAGAAAAAGCCTCTGGTACTTTGCCCTCCAATTCAGGCCAGGTATGGACATTAGGCCTATGCAAAGTGGCTAGTATTCACTTTGGATTCGGCCAATTCGGGGGACAGTGATTCAATTCAGTGACTCGAATCACTGTCCCGAATCG